GAGTGTGCTGTGGGAATAAAATAAGGTTACGTATTAAATTAGTACTTGATGCTAGGCATTCTAGTTTCTGAATTGAAACCATGGTTGTGAATTATAGGGACCATAGAATTATTTTACCTTGAGCATGAGCTGCAAAGATATCAGCTAACAGATATCTATACAACACTCACCCCGACAATAGCAGAATACACATTCTTCTCAAGTGCCCATGGAACATTCTCCCTGATAGACCACATGCTCAGTCATAAAACAAGCCTTGATAAATTTAAAAGGATTGAAATCAAAGTATGTTCTCTGACCACTGTGGAAGAAAATTAAGAATCAACTACAAGGACATTTGGGGAATTTCAAGTATGTAGAAATTAAATATCTAACTCCTAAATAACCAACGGGTCACTTAGAAAAGCTATAGATGGCTTGTCTTCATGCACGAGCAGGAAAAGGACTGCCATGGTGGCAGTGGGCAAAATAAAGACGCTTTCTGATTATAACCCGTGAGTTTCGAGGGTTCATTTTACTGCATTTAAAACACTACAAATCAATAAGTAAAAATACAGCATCACCTTATAAAAATAAGTCACGTTAGGATTTTACTGTAGAACATAAAAAAAGATTCAGTAAAACTGTTAATGAATTAAAGTGAGAACTTTTCATATAATATATTTTATTAAAACTCGCTATTTTCATTTTTATAAATGTAAATACTACAAAGTCTCAAGTTCTAGGCATCATAATATTAATTATTCAAAGCCAGTGTACAACAATAGCATATTCAAATATGATGTTCTTTAATGTAGCTTTTATATAATAAAATAAAGCATATAAACATTCTTTACTGTCTTGACTATAAATCAAATACATTGACATAAAATAAAGGGAGTGAAATAATAGTATGTTATCAGTGAAATAGACAAAGGTGGAAAGTCCACTCAGGAAGCTGTAAGAACAGTCAGAGACAAGGTCTAGGGCACTGTCACTGGGACAGAGAGAAGGGATTCTATGGGGAACTATGCAACAGGTGAAGTCCATTAAAGATGGAAGTGGCTCTGGGTGAGCTCTGAGGACAAGGGAGAGGCGTAAGTAAAAGAAAAGTCCCAGACTTCTGACATGAGCATCTAAGAGACTGACAGGCATTTCATGAGCTAAAGAGGAGTAGGGAGATCACAAACTGAGTACATTTTGCAAGTGTTGAGTTTGTCGTGCCTGGGAAGCACCAAATATTGATGCGAGATGTCAGACTGATCTTGCAATGGAAGGCAACCTGGAGGAAAAGTACCATTTTGTTAAGATACGAGTTCTCTCATCTCCCACTACAAATAAAACTAAAGGTAGTTCCCATTTGTCTGGGACCTAAAAAACAATTTCCTTGCCACATCATAGATTTTAGAAAGATTTTTCTAACATAAACATAACATTTGTTAATCATATGCAATCTATAACTAGAGAAAAGGGTACAAAAGAAAATGGAATCACTGTGAATCACTGTTCACGTTTTAGAGCTTGCCCCAATAAATTTATTTAAGTACATAAATAGAAAATATGCCACCGTCTAAGGCATAATTGTACATTTTGCAATTTAATACTGCATAAGGAGTAACCTCTCATGTCATCAAAATTTCTTCTGATCATCATAATAATTGCATATTTCCATCTAAAGGATGTACCATAATTTGATCTTTCATAGGTTTAAGTAAAGCAGTAAGAATATTTTAGTTTCAATCTTTGTCTGAATTTCCGATCATTTCTACATTCATGGAATGAAGTACTGCTTGAATGGGTATGAACATGTTCAAGTTTCTCGGTGCTCAGTCATTTTCGTAATAACGATAGTATTTGCTGAAAATGGCTTCTGACCAGGAACTGTACAAGACGGTGGAGATATGGCAGCAAACAGAAAAGGAACATTCTGTATCTAAGAGAAGATTATGTGCTACTGGAAGAGACAGACATTTAAGAGGAAAAAAAATAGCAAACAAGGGCTAAAGAAGAAATTAACAGTGTCAATAGAGGTAACAGTGGAAGGAAGAGAGTGACACTTTCAGAAAGTGTTAAATGAAGGTCCCACAAGAAGATGACCTTAGGACAGATCCTCAGCCATTGCATCATCTAGGGAGAGGGCTTTTCAGAAAAGGGAACAGGAAGTACAAAGGTAAAAGCACAAGAAAAGACTTGGCCTATTTTAGAAATGAAAGGAGACTGGTGTCTCTACAGTGTGTTTAGCCTGGGGAACAGTTCCATCTCAGGCTTAGATTTAGGAGCCAGATCATGCATAATCTGGTGGCCCAGGACAAGGAGCTTATTCTTTGAACAACAGGTAGGCAGGGACTGTTTTCCAGTAGGGAGAGTTAGGCTCAGAAACTACGTTTTGAAAACTCCCATTCTGGTTGCTATGTGGAGGATAAAAAAGAAAGTAAGAGTCCTAATGGAGAGACCCGTGAGGAGGCAGCTGCGGTAATCTATATGCCAGGTGTATTTGGAGTATATAAAGACATGGCAGCTAACTATCACATAGTTATAGGAGGCTGAGGAAAAGGAAGCAGAGAAGTGATTGGAGATACTTTCTAAACTGTGTGCTTGAGTAAATGGGCGGATGCTGGATAATATGGTACTATTACATATAGGGGCAGTGGCGAAAAGAAATCTGTTTTAGACATTAAGTGTGAGATAGCTATTAGACATCAAGTTGAGATATCAAAGACACAAATGGTATTGGAATTGGGAGTGGGAAATATGGCATGGTGGGAAATGTAGGGAATATCAGTAGGAATGAAGAGTCAAGAGTCAAAAGATGGTAAGTGGCAGCATGTTTATGTGCTGATGGGAATAATTCAGGAGAGAGAAGAAGAGAGAAATTGAAAATTCAGGACATGAGGATTACTGAAAAGCTCGACTCCTGAGGGAACTCTGGGAGACAATACAGAACATGCCTCAGGAGTATTCCAACTAAGGTATTTGGAAGCTGGGAAAATTATTCACTGACTGATGTCCTTCAGTTGGAAGGATGCTCTCTGGAGAGTGGGCATTAACTCCCTAGCATTCCTTGGCTGCCCTGGACATGGACTAAAACCATCCTAATGAGCAGAGAAAGCCATCGGGCAAAGACTCCTAAGTGCTTGCCATTGGGTTGACATGCCCAGGAATAGTGAGTCCCAAAGGTACAAGGGGCACCAAAAGGGTCTTCTCCTCTGTCCCGGTTGATGTTTTCTCCATAGACTCTGAGTCTTAAACATGGAGACAAAACTGAGAACAACAACTCTAACTGATAATAGATGTGAAGAGACAAGAGAGTGTTTTAGTCATAGCCTGAGCATCGCATACAGAGAGACCTGAATTGGGCACTTCAATTAATGTTAACCTCTTTGGGTCTCAATGTGTTTGGCGGTCACATAGGGCAGTCACATACCCAGAATCTGCAGCTGAAGATAACAACTTTGAGCCATATTCCCCAGCCAATAAGGAACGATAAGTGCACCGAACCATAATCGCAGGGGAGATAACCAGGCCCAGGGAGTTTCTAAAGTTGCGCCTACCATTAGCTAAAAGAGCTGTCCTATAGTTAACTTTTCTTTACTATTTAAGATGTTAATGAGACAAGCGATGCAAGAAGCAGCATATAGGTGAGCTAGTATAGGGATAAAAGAGGAACTTTATTTTAAAACCAGATTCCATCCTGTCTATAAGGTCAAGAATGCACAGGAAATACCCAAGACACTGATTAACTACCCGCTGCCCACATCCTAAATGTACATAACTAAGAAGAGAGGAGAACACAATGCAATCAGCAGACCTTATAAAAATAATCAACATGCCCCATTCTCACAAAGATAATCATTGTGCGTAAGAAAAACCAGAGATTGTAAAATTCCTGTGTAAGTTTGTTTTTATGGCACTTGAAAGAAAACCCTGTCATGAGACAAGACTCAGCAGACGTCTGGTGAGCATGAGATGGAGACGGTATTCCCTGACCACAGGAGTAACGATGTGAGGCGGCCCACCAGCTTCCCCTCCCTAGTCCTCTCCCCGTCCCTAGTCCTCTCCCCCTCCCTGGATAGCCCACAAAAGCCCCTCCCACAACCCTATCTGGAAACCAGCCAGCTCCTTTCTTCTTGCTGGTTCCCTGGTTCCCTGGCTATCTCTCAATAAAGCGTTGCTTGCCGAACTTCATATCGGGTACAGTGCTCATTTTCACGACATTGGAACTTAAGAACGTGGCATTAGTCGGCTGCAACAGTTCCATCAACATTCTAATCTGTGGAATGGTGGGAGGTAAGCAAAAAGGATTGGGCTTCTTTACAATTCTTTTTTTCAATTCTTTGAAGTTATCGGTAGGGGAATTCCCCTTCGTCCTCATTAGATATGCCAAAGCATTTCAACAGGTGTTTAATATCTGCCATCTAACCAATTCAACTGGTTACAAGTTGAGTATCTTGAGTATCTACTAGTCACTGTCAAAGCATTTTATATCTCTCTAATCACTATAGCAATCATCTGGGGAAGTTAACATAATTCGCCTTTTATAGGTGAGGATTCTGGTTCAGAGAGGTGACATGATTTATCCGAACTCAGATACTGCTAACTTGCAACCACTTGTCCCTCAGACTGCGGGACAGTGAGATGATGACGACTATCTCTGCAAAGAGAAGGAATGAGGAAGCGATAGCTGATTCTTCGCTCAGCAAATACGGCAGCTGCCGATGCTGACCTGAGACCGTGGGAAGCCCCTCTCCTGATTCGGCCCATCATTCCAGGTTCACTTCTCTCTTTGGTTTCGTGAGCAGCACTGAAGAGAGTGCATGCGGGTTCTGGAAGATATTGACTAATTTAAAGTTTTTAGGTCCACACAATTGCTTTTCATTCTTCACTTCCTAAACCGGTAACCGTCGACGACAATAAAGGCGGCCCCGGCTGCACCATGGCAACGGCGACGCCACTCGCGGACACGCGCAGCGGTATCGCTTATTCCGGCCGGTCCGTTCGGCGTCACTTCCGTGCCCGGCACGGCGGCGGGGGCGTCGCTCTTCCTGCTGCGGCCGGGGCTGGACCTGGGGAGGTGAGTGGGCTCGGAGAAGAGCGAGTCTCACGCAGGGAATCCGAGAGCATGTGGGACTATGGAAAGGGAAGGTGGGAAGCCCGCGGCTGTTGTCGCAGTCGTGACTGAGCCTCGGTTTACCCAGCGATACAGGGAGTATCTCGAGAAGGAGAAACTCCTGGACAGACAGCACCGTGTGGAAAAGATGCCGGATGGCACCGTCGCGCTGCCCGTGCTGGGAGAGGCCCTCCCCGAGCAGCACCTGCGGGAGCTGAGGAATCGTGTGGCTCCCGGCAGCACTTGCAGGCTAACGCAGCTCCTGCATCCTGTTCCTTCAAAGAAGGCTCAGGGTCGTTCACCTGCCCAAAGGCTGTGCCTTGAGGTGAGTCGCTGGGTGGAGGGCCGGGGAATGCCATGGTCAGCTGAGTTGGAGGCTGATTTGCCCCGATCTTGGCAACGACACGGTAACCTCTTGTTGCTGAGTGAGGACTGTTTCAAGGCCAAGCAGTGGAAAAGCCTGGAACCAGAACTCTGGGAAACTGTTGCCTCGGCACTTGGCGCCCAGCGTTTGGCCAAACGAGGGCGGGTATCACAGAATGGTACTCGAACTCCAGCAGTGACTCTGCTTTTGGGTGACGATGGCTGGGTTGAGCATGTGGATAACGGGATCCGATATACGTTTGACATAACCCAGTGCATGTTCTCCTTCGGGAACATCACTGAGAAGCTTCGGGTGGCCTCGCTGCCCTGTGTTGGACAAGTGCTGGTGGATCTCTATGCAGGAATTGGTTATTTCACTTTGCCCTTCCTAGTTCATGCCGGTGCTGCCTTCGTCCATGCTTGTGAGTGGAACTCCCATGCTGTAGTTGCTCTGAGAAATAACCTTGAGATCAATGGAGTAGTAGATCGGTGCCAGATACACTTTGGGGATAACAGAAAACTGAAGCTCTCAAACATTGCAGACAGGGTGAACCTGGGGCTGATTCCCAGCTCGGAAGAAGGTTGGCCCATTGCCTGCCAAGTGCTACGAAAGGATGCTGGGGGCATTTTGCATATCCACCAAAATGTGGAATCTTTCCCAGCGAAGAATCTCCAGCCTTCTGGAAGCGGTGAAATAGAGAAGGAGCATTGGCCTTATCCTCAGCAAACTGTCACCAGCCAAAGGGAAAATGGAGCTACCAGGGATTCTAAGACAAAAGTGGAGTCAGCAGCCACCAAGCCAGAGTGGCACAGGTGGGCAGAATCTGCAGAAACTCGCATTGCCACTCTTCTTCAGCAGATGCATGGGAACCCGTGGAAGACAAAAATCTTGCACATCCAACCAGTGAAGTCCTATGCTCCTCACGTGGATCACATAGTTCTGGATCTGGAATGCCGCCCCTGACCTCTGGTTGGCTAGAGAAGGTGGATCCTGAGACGTGAGGCCCTATGCGTGAGTGACCCTTAATGCATCAGCTGTGGCCGGGTTCTCACTCCTCTTGTCTCCTGATAATCTATGTTAATATGTCGTGGCCCTGAAAGCAGGCCCTAGACCAAGGCATTTCATTTGTCTCCCATTGATCACAGTGAGAATGAGCTACATATCTGGGCGAAGCAGGATGGCTCACTGAAATGAGGCCCATCTGTGCAATCATGAATTCTGAATTCTGACCTCAGTTCTGTCTGACCTTGGGTATGTGATTTCAGTATTCTTTTAGCCTTGGATTTCCTTACTTACAAAACGGGGGTTTCTCTGAACTGTCTCACGTGGCTGTTACCTAATAAGCAGTTGTACATAGGGCATTGGTTGTTTTAGAGTGAGAGACAGTGCTCCTTCCAAAATCACTCGGGCTACAATATGGAAAATCGACTGGAGGGGTGCCAGGATGGAAGCAGACTGGTGAGGAGGTCGCCCAGGCACGAGGAGATGTTGGCTTGGACTAGGGCGGTGGCAGTGGGGGGTAGATGGATTTGAGAAATAAAATTGATGAGACTAAGCAATGGAGTCCAAATCGAGGTATTAAAATGGGGCTGCTTTGTGGTAATGAGTGACTGAGTTAGGGAGGGGAGGACGCAAAAATACTCTAGTGTGTTAACTCTGTTCCCCTACTTTATCGTTCCTAAATGAGTGTTGTGGGGAAGGTCTTAAATGTTAGTTTTATTGTGGTAGAAAAAGGTAAAAATGACTGCATTAAGTCATAGGGAAACTAAATTTCCAGTCTTAAGCTTTGAGCAATAGGTGTCAGTTGCTAGCTATTTTTAAAGTTCAAATTAAAATCTTAGATTTTTGAAAGCCCCGGACCCCCTTTTCATCTTCCTTCCCTGGCTGGCATCATCAGGACCAACATAAGGAGCTATAAGGAACATGAGGGGTTCTGCAGTTTTTCAAGCCTCACTTTATGGCTGTCTGCCATCAGCAATGTTTACCCTTGGGATGACTAATTGTAGAGAATCACTCTCTTTACTTTTGGAATGACTGATTGTCGAGAATCACGTCTCAGAGCTTTGTTTTGGTGCACTTTGAAGCCAAATGGGCTTGTTTGCCTGTCAAAGGAAATACAGAAAAGTATGGCTTTATCAGGATTATGACTGTACCTGGCATTTGGCTGGCTGGAGTTGGGCTGGGCGGTTTGTCCTTGTTGCATTGTCCAAGTGGCAGTAAGGACAGCATTGGTGTGTGTGTCGTTCCGTAGATGTTAAGTGCCTACTATATACGTGAGCCACAGGAAATACATTCATTAGATACAGTTCCTGTCTCAGGATCCGAAATAACACAAATACTCAAAAAATTGGAATACAGTGAAATGAGTACCATATGAGTGATAGCACATTGTAGGAAAGCAACGGTGGGGGAGAAAAGTTCTGAGAAATGAATGGGGAAATCTTCAGAGAGGCAGTGTTTGAACTGACTCTTAAAAACTGGCTGAAACTTTGATAAGTGGAGTCAGAGTGGAAACATGCTGACTGAAGAAAATAATAGGAGCAGGAGTTTGAATGCTCAGAAAACATTTGGAACGTTGTCATTAGATCAGTTTGGAACAAAGGAAGCAGAGAGAGATGTGTTGAAGATGAGGGTTGTTGTAAGGATTAAGAAAAATAAAGTATCTTGTACACAGTAAGCCCCCAGAAAGTGTTAGCTGTCACGCGGTCCCACCACAGAAGGGGGCCTGCGTGTTTCCATTTCCATCCCACAGGGTGGCCTTCCTGTTTGTCTTAAGCATCTCCTCTTTTACATATTGGGTTTGTTCTCATACATGTGCCTATAACTTTCTCGCCTCAAACTAAAGGTGCCATGCTTGGACTTGAGCCAACATGGGAAGGAAAGCAGGAGAGAAACAGTAAGGAAGATAAGTCAGAGATATACACATCCGGGGTCGCGGGATTACCTTCCTTCCGTAAGCTCTGGGTAGGCAGCACGTGAATGAACTCATTCAAAGTGATGTATATACACATAGACACATACACATACACGCATACGTGTGTGCACGTGTGTGTGGCCCTGAGTGTTCAGTGGTGAAAGAAGATTGACATGGGCTCTGAAATTTTTAGTGTGCAGCGGTCTGCTTGAATGCCAAGATATCTCCTTCACAGTAAAAAACAAAATTTTGCATCTCACCCACTCACTTTATCAATATTATTCTTCCACCAAGGAAGCACACCAAGCTTTGTAGGCTTCTTTTTGGGGATTCAGAACTTGGGAATACTGCCGATTCATATACCGGGTGACAGTTTTCAGTGTGATCCAGAGCATGTAAAAGCACTATAATTAGCCCTGTTACATGGGCCATACATTCCAGGAAATCCTATGGGATAATATAGTATCTGTGATAAGCAGAATAGCCATGAGAATTTATGGCAAGGTCCAGTAGAAGAATCACAAGGTAGGCTCTGAGGGTCCTGTAGCAAGGCCAGGCCATCTGCAGCAGAGAACCACATGCCATTCAAAAATGACTCCTTGCATTCTAATGGGCCTTGGTATCTCATGAGACATCAAGCGACCCTGTAGCCAGAGTTGTCCATCATGAGCTGGGTTTTGTCAGAGCCACCAAGTCAATCCATCATTGGAAGTGGTACATCTGGAATTGATGACGGGCAGGGTCAGAGGAAATAGGCGCATAGGCAGGGGGCCCAGACTCCCATGTCATACTTATAGCTTTTACATCAGTGTCCCTCCCTCAGTTCACAGTTATGGCTGCTTGAGAGGCTCTTATGTCTAGCTGAAGGAGGACAAAAAAGCCAGAGCTAAGTTCACTGATGCGTTTTCATGGAATATAGGTTCAAAACAAAAATAGACTCCTGCTGCTCTATAACTCTAGTTAGAAGGGGGTCTTAAAAACAGCAGTGAGGGGAATTCTCCCCAAAAGCTGAATTTGGGGCAATATTCCTGGTTATACACATGGTATGGAAAGAGAAGTGGCCTGAAGTAAGAATATACTTTCATGGCAAATAGCAAATAGGTTGGCTAGTTGAACTGGGACCTGGAATGGGAAAGATTGGGGGATCAGGGACAAGCAAGCCTGGAGTAGAAGCAGTGGAAAAATCTATGGGATTGGGCACATGAGTAAAGAACTTTGTATTGTATAACAATGCCTACCAGCGATAATCTGCCCTAGAAGAGGCGCTCAACAACCAAGTAAACAAAAAACTTGGCCAGCGAACTTCAGTAACTGTAATCATCGGCTACCCCAGAAATGGCATTATGGTCTCATGAACAAAGTAGTCATGTTGCAGGGATGCAGGTTAGCAAGAGGCCAACAGTATGGCTTCCACTCACCAAGTAGCTACTCCCTAATGTTCAGCACTGAGCCCTTGACACAACCCTCAAGGAAACCAGGAAGCTGCTTGGTAGCAAGTTGATTACATGGGACTCCTTCCAAAAGGACAGTCATTCACCTTGACTAGAATCTTCCCGTCTCCAGGTATGAGCTTGCCTTTCCTGCCCACAAGATGTTGACTAGCACTACTGTCCAAGGGTTTACAAGTGTTTTATCCATTAATATATCCTACATAATACTGCTTTTGACCTAGGGACCCACTTTACAGCAAAGGAGGTGTTTCAGTAGGCACATGACCATGGGATTCACTGGTCCTGTCACATACCACACAACCTAGAAAATGCTAGTGTGATGGAGCGATGGAAACCCTTTTGAAACTAGAGCAAAAGCTTGGAGATAATACCTCCTTAAGGCAGGATGCCATCAAGACACAACATACTCTAAATCAACATCCATTAAATAGTGCCATGTCCCATAGAGAGAAAACGTATGTCTGGGAATGAATGGATAGAAATAGAATTCCCACTCTAGTGGTTCCCAAATATGTTCACATCATAATACTCAGAACCTGTGACAATATTATCTTAAATAGTAAAAAGGGACTTTGTAGGTGTGATTAGGATCTTGAGATGGGATACTATCCTGGAATATAATATTTGAGCCCAATATAATTTCAGAGGCCCTTAATAAGGAGGATGTGGAGCAAGTAGTAGGAGATGTGATAACTGAAACAGGAGGGCGGAGTGACTTAAGGAAGGGGCCACAAGCCAAGGAATGTAGGCAGCCTCTAGAAACTGAAAAGGGTGGGGAATTGGATTCTCCCTTGAAGCCTTCAGGAGGAACACAGCCTTGTTGACACCTTGATTTCGATTTTAGACTTCTGACCTCCATAACTATAAGAGAATAAATTTGTGTTGTTTTAAACCACTGTTGGTGGTACTTTGTTATAGCAGCAATGGGAAATTAATACAGTATCCCACTGCCCCATGTGGGGAGTTTATGTTTCCCATCCCACAACTTTGTTGAATGTAGAGAGGGCTGGTTCCAAACAGGGGAACTCTTTCATCAGGTGACACAGTAATAGACCCTTTGAACTTTAACCTATTGAGGTCTCCTAGTGCTAAGAGACTATCAGGCAGGAAAGAGTTACCATCCTGGTTGGGGTAATTGAATCTGATCATCAGGAGGAAGTAGGGTTATTGTAACATAAGGGCAGGAAGAAAAATATTTCACCCTCAATGTATCCACTACCCAATATCAGGAGTAAAATGCGCAACTTCCAAAAAATGCAGGATATGGACCTCCAAAAACTGGCTCCTCAATGAAATTAATGAGAACAGTGGCAAAAACTGTCAAAATCAACTTTTTCAGAAGCCCAGAAAGTAAAGGCTTACACACCAGTCTGAGGAGCATTAATTCCAGAAAAGCAGCCTAATCTGGATTTAAAAGGGAAACTTCATGGCAGTTTAATTTGCCCCATTCCTAAATCCCATCTCTGATGCAATGTTAAATTATTGTTAGCTTCAGGGAGAATGCCTCTAATGTATTTCCCCCTTAAGTGATACACTGTCCTTTGTTAGGCAGTATCCATAGAGTCCCACTATTTTGCTGGTTTTTAATTATCCTTTTCCTGCCTCACTGTAGTGTCACTTTTACATAAACAAAGTGGCCATATACG